ATTAGGTAGTTATCTATGTATGTACCTATAATCTTCGTTCGTTTCAGCCAAATGACGTCCACTGCTTATCTTACTAATATTATAAATGCGAAAGTTTGGATATCTGTATGTTTGTTACTCTTTTACGCAAAAACTACTGAACGGATTTTTATGAAACTTTACAGTATTATTGTTTATAACCCAGAATAACATATAGGCTATAATATATGACGATCTGTGACAAACTAAATTTCACGCGGGTGAAGCCCCGGGCAGATTTTATTATAGGTAAATGCAAAAGTAACTATAAGTTATTTGTTTGTTGTGTATTGAGTGAATTTTGTTTTTTATACAAATACACCTGTCTATAATGTGTGGTAGATTCCATTTAGGAAAATTCCAGCATGAATAAGGTTAATGTTATGACGATTATTACGTTCATACTTTTTGTAACAAATCGAAAAATAATATTGACATATCAATAACCAGCAAAATAACATACTTATTCGTTATTTATGGAAAAAGATACAGCTAAATATTATTCAACAACGGTTAAATTGCAGATTTTATAAGGCTTGAAATCGAGATCTTAAATACATTTTAATTGTGAATATGCAAGTTTCAGCACCTTTAAGGCCCACAACAGACGGTGAGACGCAACTGCAACTTTGAAATGATTCTGATGAATGAAACTGAAAGTTTCAAATTGGTCGCGTCATATGTGGTTTCTCAACGGACGCTATGGCAGAAACTTAGATGCAACTCAAAAGTAACTAGCAGTTGCAGTTTCGTTGCAGTTGCGTTTCACCGTCTGTTATGGGCCTAAATAGCTTCAAAAGTTACATGTCAAAAACCCAAAGCACTTCTGTATACTTTTAGTATGTTTAGTTGTTTACTTTAGTTCTAGTACCTATACATAAAATGTGTTAGTATACTATTCTGAACAAAATTTTGCACCAATTTTGTAGAGTCGCGACAACGGCAGGTGTTGGCAATCCATCAGATGCGAGTATATCTAGATTCATTTATTTAGGATACAAAAACTACTCACTGCAACGTGACATATTTACACATAGAAAACCGTATAAATTACGTGAGTCTTCGGTGATTCATCCGAGCGTATTATGACATTTTTATGAAGCGCAAATGCATCTAAAACGTTTTGGCAAATGGTGTTACGGGGCATTTGCCTTGTGCATTATCAGTTAGGTATTTCATAATATTATTTGTACAAATTCAATTTAGGTACACATGAATCTGTGATAATGTAGCTCATTTGGTATGTTAATAAATGAAATGAATAGTAATTTTGGTTTATGCCAAAATTACTGTTAATGAACTGAATACGAACAATACAATAAAATTCATTATTTTGTATAATTTAAACCTATTCATTAAATACTCGTAAAATGGTCGTGGTAAGATAGATAGATAGGTATAATGAATTATTTTATTTTCGAAATGATTTAATTTGATCAAATATCTCGAGACCTAGACCTTGCAAACCTAAAGTACAAAATAGTTTTCTTTTTTTCTCGAACAAACGATTAATGTTATAAAAATATCTCAATAACAAATTACAATCAAACTTTCAAGTACCTACGTCAAACATCAAATGTTAGACCAAACAGAATTCGTACAAATAAACACCGTCTGACCTTAGGCGAACTACGTAAACACTCATTCATTGGCCAGAATGCTACAAGTTTCAAATTCAAAACAATACGGAAAATCTCTTGAATTTGATTCTTTCATGTTAGAACTCGATGTTAACGCGTTAGCAATTCGCAAAGTATGCGGCACAGCTGTTGTTTACATTTCTTTGTGAGACTAAATATTTCTTGAAATAGACTTGTACAAGTTGGTGTAAATGTTTTGCGTACAATGTAATGCTCATTGAGTTGTTTTTCGATTATAATTCGCGATAATTTAATTACTTTGAGTACTGCCTGGTGGATCGCGTACCGACTATAATGTGTTAGATACATAAGCATTATGAGTACCTATAAATCCTTCTTAGAGTAATAGTGTACAATTTATCTCCGGGGTATGGGTGTAATAAGGGTGATGTAAATTCGAATTACCTACGTTTGTTATCTAATTATTATATCCGTTTCTTGTTTACTCCCTTCAAGCCCCTGGTTAAATGTTGATAAGATTATCTTGCAACTCACGAAGGCGAGTGAGCTTAACTTGTGTGTGTACGTGTACATGCACATAACGATAGTGTAATGTCTGTCAAAACATTTGAAAAACGAACATTAGCGAGCCATCAATAACGTCTCTACTTAGTACAAGCACTTAAGATGCTTTAGTCACTAAAGCACTAAAGTTTAGTGTAATTGGCATAATATGACGTCATCTTACTTCAAAAGCTATCATTTAAATATATCTAAATATGTATCTACTAACATCGTTTGTATTAACGCATTTTAAGACGAAATAAATCGAAATCGTTTGCCTATATCAAAGTCATTCATTCTTAATACGCATTTGCGTATTACATAATGCTAAATCGAACTATCAATTTGATGCTTCTTTGTATAACTATTATTACTTTCTTCAGTGATAAATTATTCTGAAGGTAAAAAATTATCATCCGTCCATTAGCACTATACGAGTAAGCCAGGTCTTTGTTACAAAACAACAAGGGCTATTTCCGTCCAGCCATATCCATACCCAATGCAGACGGGGCAAGACACAGTATTTTAAGATGTGTCTTCGAAAACACTGCCAACTTTTATTGATCTACTTTGATGTAGACAAAATCGTCCGTACTATATTAAAACGTGGCACAGGTCTTGAGCGAAAAAAAGTTGGAACGCTTTATCTAATTTTTTTGGTAATTGAATGGGTACTACCAAAATTCCCACTGTACAGGGTGGAAACGATAAGTGATCTCACTTGATTATTTCTACACTATACAAGATATCATAAAACTAGTTAGTACTGATCCTGAAAGTGTTTCATGAGATCTATCAAACGGTGTCAATAATAGGTTACAGAATAAACTGGATCCATCCGAAAATTTAATGTTTCCAGCTTCCATACATTTAGTACTGTAATGGCACCACATGCAAACCTTCGTCTTGAATCACTCTATTTATTAAAAAAAAACACCGCATCAAAATCCGTTGCGTAGTTTTAAGGATCTAATGCCCGTTTTCACCATCAATTCTTAATTTTTAAGCGACCCCTATGGTAACACATGACAGGAATTTTGTTTTCAAGGAGTCACTTAAAAAATTGGGATTGATGGTGAAAACGGGCATAAGCCTACTTACATATAGGGACACAGACATCGAAGCTACTTTTTTAGTGATAATAATTATAAAGCTGAAGAGTATGTTTGGTTGAGATTAATAATTTTGTTATGACTAAGCTGTCTGGTCTGGTCCATATACTCGTACGTAGGTATCTATTTTGCTAATGGAAAATCCATCACGAATCTTACCGCATACTCTCAGCGCTAAAGCGAAACATAAATTATTTTGTCGGTGAAGATCAGGACTGTACTTACATAAAACAACGACGCGTGTTCAAATTTGTATCGATTCGAATCAATTTTGCTGATTGCTGATTTATTCGGATACATTGGAGATGTTTCTTTGAGAAGCGACAATATTTAGATTATGTTGAGGACAGATAGACATAAAGATTCTTTTAAATCGAATGCTAAAGGAGATTGAGCTTTATTACTTTTAGTATTTTTTGTTTTATATGGAGATTAAGAAAAAACCTGACATGATGAACCGGCAGGTGTTATCACCTCCAACCAACCTGTATTTCATAGAGTGTTATGCAAGATAACTGTCTAAAAGTTTATCAGAAACCTAGCTAGTAATTTAATAGCTTAATTAGCTACCTACGCGTATGCAGATGCCACAATCAATGCTAGCATGACAATGAATTGAGTGTTACTAGGCTAATTTGCCTACATTGAGTGTTATTTTAAGCATTATTAATTTATGACACTAATTACATGAATCACACTCATCCTCGCTTTTCATCATTTTCAATAGCAATTGTAGTCCATACTAAATTAAACCTACGCAACGAGATTTGCATACGTGATCAGTGTCTCAATGGCACAGAACATATATTATTCATCATCATCATTTAAGCCCTAGAACGTCCACTGCTGAACATAGGCCTCGCCCAGTGATTACACAACTTTTATTGTTGCAATATTGCTCTCATTTACAACTGTTTAAGGCTCAGGACAGTAAAATTAGTTTTCATTCTTTTTTTTAATGTCATGAATCATCGCAGCTTTTGTAGTGTATGTTATAAGAGCATCTAGAAACTCAGTAAAAATCACGAAGTCGAATCTATTGCGATTGTTACATTGTCTAAGATCTTCAGTTGACTCATTATCGCGTATTTTATTAGACAGATATTTTATTTCTTACTCCTCGAAGCAAACTACCAGGTACCAGAATACTAGAATGCTTGCAGCTGTATAATTTTATGTAGAAATGTAACAATGGAAAATTTTCATGCAATCTGAAAACTCATTATCACCGCAGTGAAATTATTATGCCAAGTGGAATGGCCAAACAATTAACTTGTCAAATAAATCGGCTGTGTTAAATAACACACAACGCAAATCGACCGAAATATGTGTTGGCAAAAAAGAATGATTAGATTTTATAGGTACATTTCAATCGACGCCTTTTAGTTTCATTGTGAAGATTTATGTGAAGCAAATTAGTTATTTTTGTTTAAATTTATTAACCTCCCTATTGACAGCTGCACTATCTAATCATCTAACCGTAATTTATAACGATAATCGGTGTATTTTTTGTATGGAGTTTGACATTATTTTTTACGTTTGCTAAAGTTAAAGTAAGATGGTGCAACCCAGGATAAGCAGTAAAAAATAGGGTTCATCACAAAAGTCCATCGTTCGGCGAGGATCGAACTAGCGTTAGCAACTCAATGTCGAAATTATTAGGCCACCTATATTGTTTTGAAGAAAACTACATTACTCTCTACTATAATCCAGTTTTTTGTTTCAGAGTTCATCGCTAACAGATTTAATATCGGCGTTCGACACAAAAGCACAGACGCACAGCGACTTACAGAAAGTTACAGCCTTCAGCGGACACTTTGACAAAAACCACAAACCCACATTCTCAAAGGATGAGTATGGCAAGTAAGTAATATCTGATTGTATATTTAGAATGTCATACCAGTGGGTCTAGACAAAGTGCAAATTATAATCGCAAACCAGTCGAAAAGTGGTCGAAAAGCCCCTTTTTTGTATGGAGTTTTGACGGATTCGATTTTCGATTCGATCAAAAAGTGCGTTTTGTCTAGGGGGGCAGGCCTGTTCATCTCCGCAAGTTTACATCGAAAACAAAACAAACACGCACGATGGCACCTTACAGGATTACTATTTGACAAGGCCTCACATACGATCGAGCATTGACTCACGCACGCGTATTCTTGTGTATGATGGAAAAAAAATAAAAATATGGTGTACTAAATACTGTGCAGTATTTAACTGCCTAAATAATAATAAAAACACAGAATGTACTTTTTTAAGTTGCCTGAAGACACTGAGAGGTAAATAAGTAGTTAAGGCGATTACATGGCCGAACGACCTTGAGCATTAGAGCGAGACAACGCGCCTCCCGCCGCGCGCCCGCGCTTCTGCCCGATATCAAAGAGCGCTCAGAATACAGATGCGAAGCGCTGCCAATTCTAATATAACTGCCTACGGGAATGTTGACTCGATTTTAATTTACGCAGATCGAAAAACATTGCGATGCTTATTTTGTTTCAAAACAGAATTAAAAAATATAAAAAATAATAATAATTCTCGTCAGCATAATCTTCAAACTAAAACAAAATTAAATTATTGAAATATAATGATTATATTTCAATTAGTACATCATTATACTTCGATAAGTACCATAACAACGAAAAATAAACAATTATTTCCTCTTGTAAAGTTTGCTCAAAGGGACAGCTCAGTTTGAAAGTTAGGCTGACGATATTCATGTGTCTAAGTGAGCTTCTAAACAGTTTTTAAGCGTGTGTACCTTCTTACCTAAATGTAAGTGTCTGTCTGTGCAGGTATTCAAAATATTGGTCAACATATTTTTGATCATTGAATACAATTTTTGACTTTACTTTCTCTGTTATTATTTTTTGGTAAAATCGAGGAATTTTTTGATACATACATTTGGCTATTATAATCCTGATAGTAATGATGAAATATAAGATTTTCGTTTAGCGTTCTATTTCAACTAAAATAGATAAACACGGATTGAGCGACATTTTTATATGAGTTACATGTCAAGCACGAATACGAATACTGTGTGTCGAGGTAACGCCACTATAGTGTAACAATGACAATAAGAGGGTAGTTTAAAATATTTACGGCTTTTTTTTTTGCTATTTTATTACTGCCAGTCTGCTTGTGATCACGGCAGCCGAAAAATCAAACCGCATACAAAAAAATCTTTTTTTTCTATGCGGTTATTATTTTTGATTTGATTTTGAAATAAATCACATAAAATTATCAGGGATAGAAATAGGTGGTATCAATTTAATTTACCTAACCTTATTTGCGACGAGACGATTGAGCTAGATAACTTAATCGAAAATTCCCCAGGAATAATTCCGATTTTTTGTGGGGTCAATGAGATAAAAAAACTCATACCTGCAAAACTAATGGACCAACGGGGTACCTTGTAAATGGGGAATNAAATTCTTTATAGAAAAACAAAGGAGCGGAGCGGGCCGACATGCGACACAGCCTCCCCGTGCGAACGCTAGTGAAAGACTGAGCTCCCGCATTCGAGCGGCCCGCGTGAGGAAATTACAGGGTATTTTGAATGTATGACACGTAATACATGATTTTTGAAAAAAAATGAACATCAATTTTTTAGATCATAAAATTTTCTATCATTTGGTGAAAGAATCATTAAAATCGCTTCAGCCGTTTAGGAGTAGTAGGAAATTACTTTGGTGAAATTAGAAGAAAGTTAAGAATTTTTTCTGTCAAAACTAATAGTTGTAACAAAAAAAACGAACAACAATTTTTTAGTTTAAGATATTATACATCTCACACATATTTTTTTTTCTTGTTTGGGTCATCCATTTCGGAGGAGTAGGGATTCAAAGAGAGGTCTATTTTGCAGTTTTGCCTCACCTATCGCCTTAATATTAATCATGCTAAATCATGTATTTCCACCGCCATTTTCTGCAGTTTGGCACCTCACGTCACATCATTTTACCGAAGTCAGCCCTATAGCTTCGGCGCAGTACCGATCACTGACGTTTGTCAACAAAATGGTGCTTGACTCTTGAGACGAGCTAAATTACACCATATTGTTAATGACATTGAGCATACATTTTTTTAAATACCTTCGCGAAGTAACACTTCTCCTAGTACTTATTATTATTCTGTGGCATACTCAGAATCATTCGACAGAAGACCAAACTAAATTGGCGTAGTAAAAAAAATGCGCAAGCACACGTGCAGTGGGCCGGCCGTCTGCCGTAGAACCGATGAAATGTGAAAAACTGCTCGACGGACCATATTCATCACAAAGCTCAAAGTAGATAGACAGAGGAAATTCCTGCTTTAGTAAAATTTTAGGCTCACCTTTGATATTGCCGAAATTTTCCGGCAAACTTAAGAGTGTTGTTGTAATTCAATAGCTACAAGTACATGAGGAGACACCCTTTCTCTATAGAAAGTGTGTCTCCTCCTCCTCCTCATCTCTCTATAGAGATGTTTTAATAAATTAAAGTTTTAACACAAAATAACCGAACACAAATTCCTTTGCTAAGCCAGAGCTTATTGTATTAAAATTTAATCATCGATAGTAATTTTTTGACAAAGTTACTATCAATATTAATTTATTAATCGAATTAATAAAATGTGAACAATTTTAATATTTTATCAGCGATTGAAAATCAAAGCTGAAAATCGAGCAACAACATTACTTTAGGTGTCAAAAAGCATTAAGAACACACAAACTTTTAATGGCATCCGTTAAACTTCTGCTAATTAATTAACTTCAAACTTAAAACTGATTAAGGCCAGGTAGGCCTGCTGGTGAAGCGTCGAAAAGTTTTCAAATTTACTTTTAACTATAGGAGTAGGTATTAGGTATAAGGCGTACGAGTAAAACCTTAAAACCGCAGTGAGAAAGACGGTCGCGGTGGGCGGAAGTTTGAATCATGCGGTTTACACAGCTTATGACCGCAGTCTGTGGAGGAACACTATCTGTGTTCGCTATCCTCATCAGTGAGGGACCGAGGAAGAAGAAGAAAACCTTGAAAAAGCTTTCACTATATCTTCCGGTCTGTGGTCGCTACTAGAGAACTTTCTGCCTAAAAAGCCACCCGTTCTACAAGCTAATGTGCCACACTGATGTTATTAAAGTTTGATAAATTCTGCGGGCTATGTCGGTTATTTTGGTTCTCAGGTACTCCTAATTTCTAATTCTATAACTTAGGGAAACTCCGAACATAGCAGACTTCAATATCTGTATCGAAATATCTTTCAAGTATAAGGACTTCGCCACGTTTCACGCGGTAGTACTTACCTACTTAGGAAGGATAAGCTGCCCTTAACTGAAGTTAAACTAAACTTTTCGGGATACTCTTTGATTGATGTTGTTTCGCGCCTGAATCGCATCAATATCGAAGCAAAGACAATGCTTGTTGTATGGTAACTAGATAATAAAATAACATTATACATGACATGGTCATGTAGGGAAAAAACATCGGGCTCATTACCCCTTGAACTGCGTATTATCGTATTATTTTGAAATAAAATACTGTTAAGGTTACTAAAACCGTTCAATTTTAGTTGGTTTTTGTTTATTTCAAGAAAAGGTACTTACTAAATAATTTTGGCGCAGATTTAACCTGCGTAGGCCACATTATCTATACTTATAATAAATCTGTAGAGAGGTCAATTCTGTACATGAAATATATTTTCAAAATAACTATCAGGGGGTGATTAGTGATCGATACTGATGCCAAAAATGCAATCAGTAAAATTTTTGTCTGTCTGTCTGTCTGTCTGTCTGTCTGTCTGTCTGTATGTTCTTTATAGAAACAAAAACTACTCGACGGATTTTAACGAAACTTGGCACAATTATTCTTCATACTCCTGGGCAGGTTATAGGATACTTAGGAATACCCACGGGAACGGGCATTAGCGAGAAAAAACATTTATATGAAAAATCTAAACCGCTTAAGATAGACGCTTGACATTTGGCATGCAGGTACCTTAGTAAACTTAAAGCTTAGTTACAACAGGATATTGCAAAATTCCCACGGGAACTGGAATTAGCGGGAAATCCCTTTTGTATGACTGACTCACTGACATACCCACGCACAGCCTAAACGGCTAAACGTAGGCACTTGAAATTTATAAGGGACGTAGCTTAGGTACCGTAGACGTGCACTAAGAAAGGAATTCCCGAAATTCCCACAGGAACAGGAATTACCAGGAAAATCCTTTTGTATGAAAAATTTAAACCGCTTAAGTTAGACGCTTGAAATTTGGCATGCAGGTCCCTTAGTAAACTTAAAGCTTAGTTACAACAGGATATTGCGAAATTCCAACGGGAACGGGAGTTAGCGGGAAAAAACATTTGTATGAAAAAATCTAAACTGCGTAAGATAGATAAAGTGGGTAAAACGGGATCCACGCGTACGAAGTCGCGGGCGGCCGCTAGTTATGAATAAATCATTACCAAATACAACTACTTTTAATATTTTTTCATAAGGTCTAAATTTGATATTAATCTAGAGATGCCCTAGATACCTAAAAATATCGATATTAGTTTTTTTAACAAAAATATCGTAAAATATAAATATGTAGGTATTCGAAAATTAATGATTGCAGCTCTAGAATTTAATTTCAATACTATATTAAAAGTTAAATTAAGCGTATCAATTGAAAACATAGACAAGGTATTCGCGGACAACTAAATATCGATATGTTACGGCTAAAGATAGGTATGAACATAAACTTAAGATTAGCCGGCTAAACTTAAGTTTATCTTCGACGAGGTGTTAATGTTAGTTTCTTCTATCTTTAGCCGGCTAAACTTAAGTGTAACCGCAGGCCCTTGGCTAAAAATGTAAAAGAAAATGGAAAAGGAAACAATGTAATAATGT